GGATGCCATCCAGAGGGACCTGGACAAGCTGGAGAGGTGGACCTGTGTGAACCTCATGAGGTTCAACACGGCCAAGTGCAAGGTCCTACACCTGGGTCGGGGTAATCCCCGCTATCAATACAGGCTGGGGGATGAAAGGATCGAGAGCAGCTCTGCTGAGAGGGACTTGGGGGTACTGATAGACAAAAGGCTGGACATGAGCCGGCAATGTGCGCTGGCAGCCCAGAGGGCCAACCGTGTCCTGGGCTGCATCAGGAGAAGTGTGGCCAGCAGGTCGAGAGAGGTGATTCTGCCCCTCTACTCTGCTCTGGTGACACCTCACCTGGAGTCCTGCGTTCAGCTCTGGAGCCCTCAGCACAAGAAGGACATGGAGCTGTTGGAACAGGTCCAGAGCAGGGCTACAAAAATGATCCGAGGGCTGGACAAAAACGATCCGAGGGCTGGAGCACCTCTGCTATGAGGACAGGCTGAGAGAGTTGGGCTTGTTCAGCCTGGAGAAGAGAAGGCTGCGGGGAGACCTGATTGCAGCCTCTCAGTACTTAAAGGGAGCCTATAGGCAAGATGGGGACAATCTTTTTAGCAGAGACAGCAGTGGCAGGACGAGGGGTAATGGTTTTAAACTAACACAGGGTAGGTTTAGGCTGGATATAAGGAAGAAATTGTTTACAATGAGGGTTGTGAAACACTGGAACGGGTTGCCCAGAGAGGTAGTGGAGGCCCCATCCCTGGAAACATTCAGGACCAGGCTGGACAGGGCTCTGAGCAACCTGATCTAGTTAGTGGTGTCCCTGCTCGCTGCAGGGGGGTTGGACTAGATGACCTCTAGGGGTCCCTTCCGACCCAAAACTTTCTATGATTCTATTATCCACAAGGTATTACCTGGCAGCAGTGTTAGGTGCAGCTTTGATAAAGAGGAGAAGATGCCATCGCATTCACTACCAATTTATATTGGCTTCCAAAATGTTATAGTTAAGTAATACCAGGTCTTCCTAGAAGCTTTTTGTTTCATGACAGAAAGGAATAGGTTTTAATATGTTTTTTTTGACTGCCAGCAAAGATAAATAATACAACTTTCAAAGTAACTTTCAATGTATTCATCTCCAGTCTTTAACTGAGTGAGTCAGATTTCGCCCCCCACACACACACATAGTGTTACAGCCACTCAACAAAGGGCTGGTGTGGTTAATTCTAAAACAACATGTATCTAAATTTTTGGCTTTTTTCCCTCTGAATCTCTGGCACTCCAGGTCTAGAAATACCAGAAATCAATGAAGAGAAGAGCAGAATGTACAACAAAGCTCTGATCAGTTGGGAATGCCCTGGGAAGACAAACTCTGCTGATATCTATGTTCTTGGGTATCGTAAGCTTAACAGAGAAGAGGAGAGTGCGACGTGGCAGGAGATCGAAGTTTGCAGCAAGAGAAAAGTAATATCTGATCTTGATGATGACAGCAGCTATGCCTTTAGAGTTCGAGGATATAAAGGGTCCGTCTGTAGCCCTTGGAGCCAAGAAGTTATTTTGCGTACACCTCCAGCTCCAGGTATTGGGTTTTCTTATGTCCATGAGGTGCTGAATCTATGTTTGTCGGCCATAAGAGCTGTAGGTGGTTTCTAGTAGCTCCCAGACTTCTGTACTGTTACCAATCGCATAAATGTTTAGAAGCACTGTTAACAAGCAGGTTAAGTGGGTAGCATACTGAGACAGTGGTAGCTTGCATGATGTTCCTGGTAGCCTTTAAAAGCATGAAATTCTAACAACAATGTGACTTAAAATGCAGTTTATAAGCACAGAAGGTCAAATATTTAACCAAGAGGAAATTTTTGGGATACTGTTTTTCAGTTTTCAGTTTTCTTTTCGATGAGAATTGTGGGTACAACAGTGAACATCTCCTGTTGACACC